TTTTCGAAGGCAGCATTGAGATTTTCCTGCTGCTATGAAGTAGTCATGATGAACATTGCTTTGAAAGGATGGTGCAAATTGCATCAGTATGTCCGTGCATGAACCTGCGGTGGCTCTGGTTCCACCTTCTACTCAGCAGAAGTTGGTTTTTCCTTTTCAGGTACTGTCCCAACTGTAAGAAGCATCAGCAGGCCACAAAGAAGTTTGACTTGTGGTCCTTGCCCAAGATCCTGGTAGTCCACCTGAAGCGTTTCTCCTATAACAGATACTGGAGGGATAAACTTGACACAGTTGTGGAATTCCCAATCAGGTGAGTTCTAATAACCGGAATTAGGAAAATTTAAACTAGTGTTTCTGGGTGATGACTGGCTGCTAGTTTTGCCACCAGAGACTTTTTTTTAAATAATTTTAATGAGCATTTACAGAGATTTTGGATTTCCATTCATTCATTGTCGCACTTACCAGAGACTTTTTGCATTAGTGTGTGTGCTGATGGACTGTAGGACATTACATTTTTTCTCTTATTGTCACTGCCACCTCTACCGCTGTCCATCCACTTGCCAATCCTTCCTGTCACCTAACCGGCCGGGTCCCAGGGAAGCCAGACTCAGCAGGGCCAACACCAAAACAGTCCTGTTCCTTATTAACAGAGGGGTCAGGGCAGTCCCACAGTCTCCAGGAGAGAGCTGGGTTCTTACTAGAGAGCAGGGGAGAGTGCAAACCCCACGGCAGTCCTGACCCTGGGGAAGGGACCAGGATCTGCTATTGACTCAGATCTCCTCGGGCCCCAGAGTTCAGAGTATAATTGATCAGTAACTAACTCGAGATAGAAGTCTCCCCTCAAAAATGCAAAATCTAAAATGCTTTCTTGGGAGACAGTTAGATAAATGAAGCGTACAGTAAATCAGTGGGAGAATCAGGGTGGTTGAATATATAGATATTTATTATAGAATTCACTTCTCTGTACGTTTAAAATTTAAACTTCTCTGTATTTTAAAAGTAAAACAGGTGAAAGCCCTTTCTGGAGCCTCTTTTGTTATGTAACTTAAATTATTGTGGCACCAGTTGTGAGGCTTTTCTAATATCAAATGAAGCTCCTTCTCTGTCCCCGATCCTTCTGTACTTTGTAGTCTTGTGTTGGAGATTTGCAGGGGGCATCTCTTGTTTTCTGATCTGAACGTGTCAATATTAGGACACAGGCCTCCAGAGCCCCTTCTGTGGTGGTATGTTTGATCATTTCTTCTGCAGCTAGTTTCGGAATGCCTGTGTTCCAGAAGAAGGTGTTGGTCGTAGCTCTGACTTCTTTGAGTTTAACATATTTAAGAGTTTTTTTTGTGTTTTGTGATCAGAGCTCTGAACATGTCCGAGTTTGTCTGTGACCTGTCAGCAAGGCCCTATGTGTATGACCTCATTGCTGTGTCCAATCATTATGGAGCCATGGGGGTTGGCCACTGTAAGTATGGGTGTATGTTTCCTTCTGAAATGTTGAAATATTCTTGGCCAGTCAGCTGTCATCATGTCTTCCTCTGTGCCAGACTCTGTCATACCACTTGAAATACCTCAGACCCCTGGCTGCTTTCATGCTGCTGCCCTACTGTTATTATATCACCTGCCTCAGCATGGCTGCATAGTCTCCATTGCTCATGTGTACATTCCAGGTCATCAGGAAGGAAGGATAGGTGAGCAGAACTTCTCTTTAAGTAGAAGTCCCCCTCAGTTCCTCTCCATAGACTTCAACCACTGTACCTTGGTTAGACAGGTAGTTCCAGAAAAGGTTGGGAAAAGAAAATTGTACCTATTTGAAAATGAAATTCTGCTGGAATGACTGTCATTGATCTCAGATTATATTGTATCCTTTGACTTGCTCTTTGGCCACAGCATTAATTTTTATATACGTATATTCACGCATAGTGATCAAATGTATTTTTTTCCTAAATTTTATCATTGAAAATGTGCACAATAAAATACACACCAATTCAATAGTGTCCACAAGTACAATTTAGAGATACCTGATTGTGTAACCATTTCCCCCTCCTTTTCAGAGTAGCTCTTTCTCAGAACCACAAACTTTAGGTATCTTTGGAGTTGTTGATTTAATACCATGTAGATAGATCTTAAAAGAGAAAAATGTTGAAAGCACACATTGTTTTAATAGTATTTCAGGGAAAATACGATTATTTTCTGGGAGTTCTACTGCCTCTATGGCTCTAGAAAGTTTGGAGTCCCTGAAAAGTTGAAACTCTGTATTTTCTCCCTTTTGATTTTAACTGTTTCAGCATATAAACATTGGACAGGTTTATTTTAATTTATTTATTTATTTATTTTCTTTATTATTATTACTGTGTTTGTGCATACCATCAAATCAGATCTGACTGGTATAGGAGGAGATTGCCCCTCCTTCTCCAGCAGAGCATCTGGTGGATTTGATGGACAGGTTTATTAACTGCTCTGCACCTTAGTTTTCTCACAAGATTAGACAGGTTTTAGTAGTCCGGCACCCAGCCCAATAATGGGGTTGAAAGCCACCATTGCATCTCTAATGCAAAGCTGTGCAAGAAGAATTTATTTCAAGGAAATGCTTGGATCATCATTGCAGTCAATTGTTGTCCATTCATAAACTCTTCCACTTAAGGTTTCTTGTCCACATCCTGGCTCTGCAAACCAATATGTACCTGACCGAGACCACCTTACCAGCTCCAGGGGCACCGGGAAGAACCTGTGCTGAGCACAGTGCCATCTGCCTGAGTTCTGTGAGGAGTAAACTCGGTCTTTGTTTAGAAAGCTGTTAGATCTTTAAGTGAAAATTTTTTTTTCTTTTTATTGTGATTTGAATAAATGTTAGCTGAATGAGTGGGTTTTCCATTTAGAAAACTCAGAGCTATTGTTTTGCTTCATTCTCAGGCATGTTAGCTTTCTCATGGGGCCTTGGGCTCAAGATTATTGTTTACAGCTCCCTGGAAGACAAACATTGACTTTCTCTATATTTTTTTTTGTTCTGTTTTTTTTTTAAATTATTAAATTTTATTAATTTTAATGAACATTTAAAGAGATTTTGGGTTTTCATTCATTCATTGTTACATTTTTTTATTAGTTTTCCAATGTTACAGTTTAACACTCTGGTCTGTGACCAAGATTAGAACAAATTGAAAGCAAAAAGGTTACCTTTTTTTAAAGACAATCCAATGTTGTTTATTGTATACCTATGTAAAATAGCCATATTTAGCCTAGCCATTTGATGATTGCTACAATATTTTCTTTGTTAACTTATCAGATACTGCATATGCAAAGAACAAATTGAATGGGAAATGGTATTATTTTGATGACAGCAATGTGTCTCTGGCTTCTGAAGATCAGATCGTGGTAAGTAGGCTCCCTTCACTGGCTACTGCTTCATGTGCTAAAGCTGGAAGGGAATTTGGCCAGTGTGGTATTTAGCTATCCTGGTGTGTCGGTAGGAACTAGGGATGGTAGAGAATGACGATCTAGCTGCCATTTCTTCTGGAACCTTCCTAAAGGCAAAGCAAACTTTGTCAGGTTCCTTGTCACACAATACCTACTCTATCCCACTGCCCTGTCAGCGTCAGCACAGGTCAGCCTCTGATGCATGGGTCACCTTCATGGTCACCTCTGTGTGGATACACTGGGCAAGAAGAGCAACGTTGTGTGATTGAATAGTGAGAGACAGCCAGAAAGCTCAGACCCTGCAGGCCACACAGTGACCTTCCCAGCCACTGAATGGACTTCTCCCCCTCTTGTGTTTTAGACAAAAGCAGCTTATGTGCTATTTTACCAGCGTCGGGATGATGAGTTTTCTAAGACACCTTCAGTCACCAGTTTTCCTAGTTCCTCTGAAGGAGAGACGAGAACCAGCGGCTCCCAGCAGGGCTTGGGGCATGATGAAGCTTGCAGCATGGACACCAACTGATGCTGCCTCACTGACCCTCTTACCTCGCAGCACAGTGTAACCCCCCAGGAGAACATCCTTGACATGATGAAGACCACTAGCCGTCAGTCCAACAATCAGATGGAAGAAATTCCCTTTTTTAATAACAGAAGAAAGAAACAAATGACCTTGTTTGCTCAGAAGGGTTATGTCAAGAGACTGAATTATTTTTCTTTTTAAACTAAGGTGGTGAGAGAGATTCTGTAAAGAGATTCTGTGGAGCTACAGTGGGGGCGGGGGTCACAGTGGAATATGTCCAATGGATTCCAGAGCTGGAGAGGAACATGCTAATTGAGACCTGCTGCAGGCCCGACCTGCGTACCCTTCTGGTTCTTTGCCATTTACTGGTCACCTCAGTAGTTGCTTACAGTAAAGGAGGCCTCATGTGAACTCAGTGGTGTCCCCTTCTCCCTTGCTGTCACTGGGATGGGTTTCTCTTCCCTGAGCTAGTCACTAAAGCCGGTTCCTGTTTCTCTGAGCCACCTGGGACCACTTCACTTCATTTACCCAGTGAAATGGAGATGTTCAGTGTGGGGTCTCCGGCCCCTCCCCCTCTTGGCTAGTCTGCACCAGTCTTAAGCAGTGGAGACAGGTTGGTCCCTTAAAGGGGACACCATTTAAATCAGAACATCAACTGCCCAGCGCTGTGTCGGCCTGAAAAGTTCCTAGGAGTTTGTCTGCTGGGAGGGGGCCCCCCATCTTGCCAGTTAGTGTTGAGAAGTGGGCACCGCAGTCCGCCCCGCTCCCCATTGCTGGCGTGACTGTCACAGAACCCAGCTGTGCCTGACCTTTAACCCTGGCGGGGCTGGGTGTGGGGGCGCGTGGCCAGCGACTGACCGTTGGGGCATAGGTGTCGCCGTGCGGCTTGGTGAGGACTGGGGGCTCCAGCTCGAGGGGGGTGGCCGGGTGGGTCCTGGGGCTCCGCCCGCCACCGGGTGGGCCCCTCCCCAAAAGCCATGCAGCGGTGGGTGAGAGCTGGTGTGGTTACCCCGCGAGTGGCCCCTGCGAGGGGTCGTTTGCCAGCTCGTCTGCATTTCCAGTGCATACCGTAATCAAGACATGGTCCCTTTTAGGGGAGATGTCTGAAAAACTAAGAAGATGCAGAAAGGAGCTGACGGCCGCCATTGACCGGGCCTTTGAAGGAGTCAGCCAGTCCCCGGAGGGCCCGGGCCCACAGAGGCCAGAGTCCTATGCCGCGCTGCCCCGCCTCCCCCTGCCGATGCACCGGTTCCTGTGCGGGATTCATCCGCTGGCCCCGGGCAACGCAGAGAATGAGGGCGCAGGCCTACCCGCTGGCCACGCCCCAGTCGGTGCAAAACCACATGCGCTCTGCCCCAAAAGAAAACCTCTGACCAGCAAAGAGAATGTTTTGATGCATTCCTCCATTTTAGCACCCGAAAGACAGTTTTGGAGAGCGACAGGCGAAGGGGAAAACTGGAAAAAAGAAAGTTTAAGGTGATTCTAATCTGATAGTTCGCACTTCTAATTAAAGGGATTTTTTGTTTCTAAAAATATATTGAAGGATCTAGACTGCGTTTATGACACTGCCATTTCCGCCTCTAGTACATACTTGAAACTCTAATTTGGGAAGTTCGCACACAAATCGGGTCCAGAGAGAGAGAGTGAGAGAGTGTGTGTGTGTGTGTGTGTGTGTGTGTGTGTGTGTATCTGTCAATTCTGATGTCAAGGGAGTCTTGGGAATCACATTGTTCAGTGGGATGGTGAAATGTGCAGTAACCTGATTTTTTCAGTGACTATTTTTTTATGCTGCAGAAGCAAGCATCTTAAATCCAGTGTCTGAGCATGGACACTGGGGGCAGGAAGAGGTTGCAGCCCCCCCTCCTTGCCTGCATTCTTTCCTGTTTCCCTGCTCCCACCCCTACACCCAGCTGTTGAGACTCTTCCCAGGTGAAGGTCTCTTCTAGACCTTATCCTCTCCAGGTAACTTGGGTCTGCCCAATCCCAGACACCTTGACAACCTTAGGCATGAAATTGTGGTGTGGTTTGCCATCGTAGCTCCCCCATAGGCAGGGAATGAAGAGGCTGTTTTACTGACTCAGCTCCACCGATACTTATCCTGGGTTGTCATAAACAATGCAGTCAGTGATGTTCAAGAGGAAGGTTCCTTCACTCATTTAACGGTTTCTGATTGTCGTCTAATTACAGTATAAATGACAAGTAAGTCTTTGTCCTTACATTTATCTAATACAGTGTTTACCTCCAGTAGTTTCTTGAAAGAAAATCTAATTCCCATTCTTTCCCCTCTTCCCTCCCCAATCGGGGTTTGTAGGAAAGAGATGGAGAGAGATTTGAAGGTTGACTCAAACACGCTGCTCAACACTTCGAGCCAAGAGGTCACAAAGGACCTGCTTGATATGATTGGTGAGTATAAGGGGCCAGTCTATTCTTTCAGAGAGTAGAACCAGGTTCTAGAGTGAGCAGTGATTTAGAAAAGCAGTTATCTCAGTTATCATCCATTCTCGTTGAGCAGATCTGTTTTGCTCATGGCATGCTCTGCATGTAAAGCAGTGTGTACAGTCAGCCCTGTTTGTGTCCTCGGAGCCGGGACCCTAGTGGGGAACCCAGCAGTTGGGTCATTTCCTAGATGTCTAGTTAGTTAAATCCCTCATGAGAAAGATAGTAGCCCTGAGGATATTGTGGGTGAGCTTTTGTTGAAGGAAATAAAGAAATAAGCAAAGAGGAGGATGAAGCACCTCAGCTGAGGTAATACAAAATCAGAAGGAAAATTAGAATCCAGAGGCTCCTGTATAATTCCATCACCTGAGATAGCCACCATTGACAGGGTGATGTGCAGGCAGTTTTTTAAACAGTTCACATTACATGTGCATATAACCTTGGATGCTACCTGAGACTGTAAACTCAGAAGGGCCTTCAGAGGATGAAAGGGAGGCCTGGTTGTCGGGAGGTGCTTGTCTTAGACCGCAAAGACAGACTCTGCCAGCCTTGCCACCCCAGTTGACCAAAACCTCTGTTTTTCTGGAGATAAATCATTAGGCATCTGCCCACCACCTTCTACCTCACTCATTAGCTCCAGACAGCACTTTGGTTACTATGTGCCATGCTGTGTCACCCCTACCCACGAAGTTCCCTGAACGCCAGGACAAGCATATGCAGCTCTGTGACCTAGTAACGCCTCCTTTAGGGATTCGCTGATGGTTGGGAGTTTGATAAATGCAGGCCTTAAAAGGAGGGCTGAATACCCGCCTTCATTTGGCCCGCCTTTGGCCTGTGTGCCCCTAGAAGGAATATTTGGTTTGGTACTAACAGTGACCAATTGTATGTGGGTTTGTGTCTGAAATGTTTTGAAACCTTTCAAGTTCTAAAGCTGAATGTTCTTTTAAAGACCATACAAGTATCCGGACTATTGAAGAATTAGCTGGAAAACTAGAATTTGAAAATGAGTTGAACCGCATGTGTACTCGCAGCGATGACTCACCAGAGGACACCTGGGCCCTGCTCGTGGACGAGAGCCACTGGAATGCCTCGGACATGGACCCTGCCGGTCTCAAGCAGGCTTTCGATGATCACATCATCGAGACTGTTCTGGACTTGGAAGAGGACTACAGTTTGACCTCCTCTAAATACCAAATTGAGTAGGACTGGGGTTTTGATTGCAGCTTTTCAGTTGACGTTAATGGAGCCTGTGCAGGCAGAACAGCCAACCACGGTGGTCACCATAGGCCACACTTTTCAAGGGATTTGCAGAGTGAGTTATTGCAGCATTTTAACTTCCACTTCTTTTTTTGAGCAAAGTGTTTAATTTTGGTATACTGTAGTTTTGGTAATTTTTTTTTTAACATTTCTTGAATGTGATTTGGTTTTTTTAAATAATCGTTCAATATACCCAGCACCTGTTGCAGGTGTGGGTGACAGTCTTCTGCTGTGTCTCTTGATATTCTTTCCTGCTACCCGTGATCAAAGTACACAGGCAACAGCCAATGGGAGCTGCACACCCTGGAGGCCTCCCATCCCCAGCAGCTCATCCTGTACAGAGAAGCTGGTATTGCACTGCACCAAGGCTCCAAGGCCTTTGTAGTTCCTGTGCCTTCGCTCTCCTGGGGTTCTTGGTCTCTGCATGGCCCACATTTGTTGGCTAGTGCTGAATACTAGATGAGTGGCTTTAGCAAAAAGACGTTTTATTTTCTGTTTTGTTATTTTTTTTAAACTGTTCCACTGACATCAAGCTAGTTCCCACTAGAAGGATCATCAGATTTCTGTGGCTGCAGATCTTTATGAGAAGATACAATCCATTTATCTCCCAAGGAAAAAACAGTGGAGTCCAACTGCTGACATTTCATTCAGCATCCTGATAATACTCACTACGCCACCACAGTTCTTTTCCTCATAGTTTTTGTTGTTAGGTACTATCGAGTCGGAACTGCTTATTTCAGAGGCAGTAAATGACATGGGAGTGATTCAGTCCATGTACCTGTAGGTTGGAAGCGCACCTTCTTTCCAGAAGGCCATTAAAGCTCCCATAATGTAGGAGGCCCCAAGTCCTGAGTTCAGGGTGCTGGCTCTAGGAAGAGGCTTTCCCTCTACAGCCTCTGGAGGAAGAGCCTTTTCTCTGAGCTGCTGCAAGCAGTCATCATGTGGCTGGGGATCTGTCTTTGATTTCTACTGCTTTTGTTTGCTTAATCTTTTAAATTTCAAAAACGATTGATTTATAGTACATCCTACACTAGTCCTGTTTCATTAACAAAGTCGCCTACTCCAAATGGGAATGAAACCACGGGCAGAGGGTAGGTGGGATTTAGAGTGCCTATTTGGTGGTGGTGGTGGTGGGGACTCACATGATTAGATACTGACAGGCTCCATGCTCCCCTCATACCCATATTCACCCACCTTACCTCAGTGCTCGCACCCCTGCCCGGGCCTGGCTCAAGCTCACAGGCCTCTACAGCAGAGTTCCTCTTACTGGGGTGGACGTTAGCCCAGGGGGTATGGAGCTAGAGTCTTGGGGAGAAGGATTTAAGCTCTCGGTGGCAGGACTGACAGGTATGCTTCTGTTTAGCGAAGCTTTTATTGGAAAACTGAGATTTACCAAACAAGTAATTATCTTGGAATCTTCAGATGAAGAGCATTTCCTTCCAGTAGAAACGCAATTATTGAAAAGCTGGTGAGGCCCCCAGCTGTGCCTGGCTGGAATTAGCAGGAGACTTGTTTCCCTGGCAACATCTGCCCTTTTGTCTTCTCCTCTCTGCCTACCCATGATGGCCAGGGAGGTCTTGCTGCTGCTGTCATCTGTGGCTGTGCAGCAGGCAGGTGTGTACGGTCACCTGCTCAGAGCTACATCTTGAAGAGTTAGTCTGAGCTTGAGTGAAATGGGACCCCAGAACATATATTTTAAAAAGACATCCTCAGGTTTGCAGGGAGCTGGTTCATATCTTCCAGTCTTGGACATGTCTGAGAAACTTTATAGATGTTGTACGTCACTTGGTTCTCTTCCCCCACAGTTCATCTTGGCAAGCCCAACACTGAATTGTTACCGTGGAAACACCAAACTGCAATTTGGATTAGCAGAATGAAAATAGAAACAAGGCAGATTCAAGAATAAATAGACACTTTGGAATTTGCTGGTTGCCAACTGCAAATTCAAGCTTTAGCTTAGGGTATGGGAGAAGTGGGCCCATGCAGCCACAAAAGGGCTCATGGCTACTACAGCTGTTGTTATATGCCATCAAGTTGCTTATTAATCATAGTGACCCTATGTACAACAGCTCTGACCCCTGCTCTATCATGAATCAACTTACTGTCTCTGACACACCTACCCCTATTACTCCAGTGCCCGAGTTAATCCATCTTATCCAGGGTCTTCCTCTTATGCACTGTCCCTCCACCCTGCCAAGCATAATGTTTATCTCCAAGGACTGGTCCCTCCTGGCAACATGGCCAAAGTATGTTAGATGGAGCTTCAGAATCCTTCAAGGAGCAGCCTGGTTTCACCCTCTCAAGGATGAACCTGTCCTCTTAGCAGTCCATGGTATATTCAGTACTCCTCTAGCACTACAACTCAAGGGCATCAGCTACATCCCACCAGTTTTAACACCAAAGCCACTAGAAATCAGCTGTACATGCAATAGATTTTGGAAAAATACTTGTTTTAGGAGACACCCAGTAGAGAAAGCTGAAGAGGAAGTGGCAGGAACAGAAGAGGAAGGAGTGCCTGGCAGGGGATGAAGTCCAGCAAGGAGCAGAGGCACAGTTCTTTAAAAAGATGATTCCAGAATGACGACTGAGGGTGCAAATGATGAGCCTGTCCTAGGTTACATCTAGATTCAGGTATTTCTTAAATCATTGGCCATGTTTGATATAGACTCTGAACTCTTACCAGGTGAACACCAGGGCACTTCTGGTTTGAACTATGAGGTTCATACCAGCACAAGCAGATGCTGGACCTGCTTTTCTGCTCTCTGCATCCCAAGAGACCCCCTTCTCCTGTTCTCACTAGATAAAAGGGAAACAATTTTCTGATATTCTCCTGGCTCTTCCATTTCAATCCCAGAGCAGGAGTGGAGGAGGCAGACTCGGGTCTGTGCCCATTTTTGCTCATAGGGCAGCAGCACCATGCTACCCCAGGAGGCTGTGAGTAGCTGATGCTCAGGCAGTCCACGAGAGGATTTGCAAATGGGGTATATTTCAGGCTAACACCCCTGTTCCTTGGGCCAAGGCATTCAGAATGAGAGGGAAGATAAGTGAGTCAGGCAATCACGCTGAGCCCTTGAGCAGCCACTTCACCTGACTGGAAAGGCTGTCATTCCAACATAGTCAGAGGCTCTGCTTTCTCCTTAGTGTTTGGAGAACAATATTTTTTATTTCAGTTAAATAGTTGGAACAAAGTCTTACTTTGGAAATCTCTTTTGACAGGTGATCTCAGTCCTCATAGGGAAGGACTCACCTGGGGAAGCTGGAAAATTCTTGATTTGATTAAGAGTTTTGATCTAAGGCCTGACATAAGATTAGTTTTTAGAGCTATTAACCCTTGGAAGGTGGAGGGTTGGCCAAAAAGGAAGATGTTCAACAAGACTGATTGACATGGTAACTGCAGCAGTGAGCTCAAGTGTGTTGGAGAAGATGAGGATGGGCAGGATTTGGATCCGTTGTTCACAGGGTCTTGACAGCACCTAACAATAACAAGAAAAAGAGCCATTTTTACAGAGGGAGCTCTGATGGCCTAGTGATAATTGGCCTGCCAACTGAAGGCATGTGGTTCGAATTCTTTTTTTTCTCTGTACTGTTGAAATCAGATCGAACTGGCACAGAAGGAGATGGCCCCTCCTTCTCCAGCAGAGCATCTGGTGGATCCAAACCGCACACGGTTAAGATTGCAGTGCAGTTTCTTGCCATTAGACCACCAGAGCTCCCCGATTTACAGCTTCTGAAAATTCACTGGAGGATCAGCTATGAGTCAGTTCTCATGCAACAGTACATAACCACCGTCATAGCAACTCTCTTCTTGAGGATAGAGTGGTCTCAGACCTCTGAGTGAGAAAGAATGCTTTGGAGCCAGACTGGGAGAGAGAAGTATTTTGCCAGACTCATCATTGGGGCCCTTTCGGAACATTTAAGGCAAAATACACAATAAAAAAGAGTTGCAAAGAGCAGTTAGAAAGGCCCCATTACCAGGATAGGGATGTAAGAAGCTATTTGAATATAAAGAAAATATTTATGAAATGTTTGCTAGTATCCAACACTCCTGAGAGTAGGGGACACAGGAGAGACTAGATGATGCAGCTCTTCTTCAAGCCCTTACACTCCCCTGAGCAAGGCAGGTGAAACACAAGTCTACAAATTCTTTCCGATGGAGTTGTTATAAAAACATTTCAAAAAGGAAAGAAGATGAGCAGTGAGCAAGCTTCTTCGTAGTGATGACATTTGACCCTGACATAACAAGACAAGTACTATGTCAGATTCATTTCTGTCTTTAGATTGGAGCTGGTGTTGGATCACAGAGAGGGTGGAGCCCCAGGCCCACACACCTCCCACCCCCCCACCCACCCCTGGCAGCCACATACAGCCCCCACAGCATCTGAAGAGCCAAAACTGATGCATGCTCTAGGGATTTGCCTGGGCTGTGTCTAGCTCACCAAATCTGGCAGAAACACAGTAGCTGATAAAATTTTAAAAAGGCCTTAGGAATAAGATAAAAAGTCCTTCCCAGATGATCACCAGACAAAAGCAGCATATCTTAATAACCTAGCTTTGTTAAGAGCCAAGTTTACTCTGCATTCTACAAAAATGCCAAGCTCATGGAACAATGGATCATCCTTACTTTTTATTTCATTTCACAAAATACTTTTGAAGAAATGGTAGGATTTAGGATTCCACAATTTAACAGCAGAATGTAAGGGTCCTGCTGTAGCATTGCAAACCTGGGTGAGACTTTAAGTGAGCCATCTACAGTCATAATGCTGATTGTATTTCTCTCATCAGGGTCTTAATTTTTTCTGTCTTTTATACTGTGGGGTTTTTTTTAATTTCAATGAAAATTTACAGAGACTTTGGATTTCCATTCATTCATTGTTGCCGTTTTTCCCCTCCCCCAGTACACTACCCTCTTGGAAAAGTAAAATTCTTTCATTGTTTTACAAAACCTCCCCCAGGTCCACTCCACTATGCAGCCTTCGCTCTGGACTCCTGTCATGACAAAAATACCTAATTACATATCCCTTTTAAACAGTTTTCTCCCTCATCTGTTTCATTGCAGTATACATTATTTATCCCATCTTTCTCAGTCTCCCTCCAACCCCGATGTCAGTCCTGTTTTATAACAGTGGCACTATGCAGTATTTGTCCTTTGGTGACTGAGATATTTCAGCGTAATGTCCTCCAGGGTCACCCATTTTGAGTAATATTGCATGAGTTCTTTGTTTTTCAGTGCATCGTAGTATTTCATTGTGTGACTATACCACAGCTTCTCTATCCATTCATTTGCTGATGGGCACCTAAGATTGTTTCCAACTCCTTGCTATTGTGAACAACAACACAGCAATAAACATGGGTGTGCATATATCTGCTTGGGTGGCTGTTATGGTCTCTTTGGGGTATATTCCCAGTAGTGGAATTGCTGGGTCTAATGGTATCTCTATTTGCAACTTTTTGAGAAAGTACCATACTGCCTTTCCACAGTGGTTGCACCATTTTACACTCCCACCAACAGTGAATAGGGGTTCCAGTTTCTCCACAACCTTGCCAGCATTTGTTGCTTGCTGTTCTGTTAAATTTTGCTGTTCTTACCGGGAGTGAGATGATACAGTTGTTTTGTATACTGTGTGTGTGTGTGTGTGTGTGTGTGTACCATTAAATCAGATCTCACTAGTACAGGAGGAGATTACCCCTCCTCCAGCAGAGCATCTGGTGGATTATACTGGTTTATTTACAAAGTTCAAATATATTGTTTTTCACACACTGGATCTTTCCCATTTCCTTCACCCCACCCCACCCCATCAAATTGTGTAACCCTATGAAAAACACCCCGGTATCCTCTGTTTCCACCCTCCCCCTGCCTTGGATCCTCATACTCATTCTACAATAATGATCTTACATATTTGTCTTTATGGGCTGAGTTCAAAGTTAGGTAGTAATTTATAAAATCACTGTTGCTATGTGCTGTGAATGTACCATAATTTCTCAGTCCATTCCAATTGTGGTTGGACATTTGGGCTGTTTCCATGCTCTTGCAATGGTGAATAACCCTGCTGTGAACATTAATGTACAAGTTTCCATTTGTGCCTCAGTTCTCATTCTCTTGGGGTATATTCCAAGCAGTGGAATAGCTGGGTCATATGGAATTTCTATGCTATGCCTTCCTTACAAACACAAAATCATCAGGAGCATCAAAGGAGGCAGGCAGAGGGCAGGGTTTTTTTTTTTATTATTTTTGTGCATATACCGTCAAAATCAGATCTGACAGGTACAAGAGGAAATTGTCTCTCCTTCTCCGGCAGAGCATCTGGTGGATTTAAACTGTGTACCTCTGGGATTGCAGTACAGCTTCTTGCCACTAGGCCACCAGAGCTCCCCTAGAGGGCAGGTTTTAAGACACATAGTGAGTCCCAAGTCTGAACTCCCTTGGCCTGGGTGAGGGCCCTGGGAACTGCAGGTGGTTCCTGGTAAAGGCCACAGAAGACAGACAGCAGTTTAGGCTGATCAACATCCCTGCCCACTGAGTCACTGGCAAATTCAACCTTACAGACCTTTGTGAGTATACATCCTCTGAGAATAAGGACTGTAAAAAATAAGTCGTAAGCCATCATTTCTATAATGGTCCACTCAAAGGCCTCAATATAATTTAGTGGCTTGAAAATAAACAAAGCGTTCCATCCCATGAGAATTTTCATTTTCTTACACTAAAACAAATTTTAACCAGGGTGGTGTTTTGTTTGTTCAATCTTATCTGATTTTGTCTAGGGAATAAAAAAAGATGATACACATCTTAAATGATTTCTTGAATTGATGGAAAATTAGTCTAATAAACTCAATGAAAAAATAGGCTTTAAACTTAACATATCTTTATTTTTCATTATAAAACAAATGTTTCAAAAAGTTCAGCAAAAATAGACCATTTCTATTCCTATAATAATTAGGCAGCTCCCAGAAATAACAGAGGGCATATCTTTGGATTTAAAAGTAGCTGAATATTAAGATTTAGGGAGGAAAAGCCAGAGGAGAAACTGGAGTCTTGAAACTAGGGTTTTGATACTTCTCTTTTGTTTGTAGTTCTAACACTATTCTCTGACCACAAAAAAGCTGTCTTTGCTTGCTGTGTACCCATGGACCAAAACATGCAAACACTCTGACAGCATAAATGGATAAAAGTTGGGAAGAAACCAAGGCCTGATTGTGCACTGGTGATGCAGAGGAGCCATTCTGAAGATCAGACATCATGTATGTTCACAAGCCAACGCTGCCCTTCTGAACAAGACAATCCCCCCTTCCACCAAGCACAGCTGCCCTACTCCTGACATCCCACAACCAGCTCACAGCACTGCTGTCTTCATAGTTCCTTCCAAAAAGTAAGGGATACTTACTCCAGTGGCTAGTTCCAGACTCCCTTCCCTCACCTAGCAGGGTCTCTTAACACTGAGGGTGGTCTCAAGTAGGCTGCAGGGGCTTTGTTATGGGGCGCCCAACTGTTCTCCAAAACTAAAGTCACTATGAGATGTTCAGAAGCCTTCATCACTGCTATCAAAAGCTAGGTCATAGAGCAAATTCCTCCCTGGCTTTTTGCATGAAGGGGACTGTGAATTTTCTATGTTAAGGTTGCTGAACCAGCTTATCTCCTGGTCCCCCTGCGAGGTACCAGGCAATGGACTGCTGTCTTGGGAAGAACACCTATCAAGCCTCAAGAGTCTTCCTTGCATTTCCCCTGTTGTTTTAGGGAGCATGACTGCCCCTCTCAGAGTGGGGCAGACTGGCTTTGCAGGACTCCTGGAACCCCTTTGACACAGAGAAGGCTGGAGGGGTTCTCGCTGTCCCAGATGGGGACCTTGTAGGCCAGAAACTGAAGGCTGAGTGCCTTGAATTCTAGAACTTAGAGCACTGGTCTTACTTGGGGCTTGGTCTTGTTTCCTGGCCAGGAGCCTACTTCTCCTGGTTTTCTTAGGCTGTTTCTTCTTACCCTTTTTGCCTCTGTCTATAATTCCCCCTTTTGGTTCAGTTACCAAACTCTGTCCACATGGATCACATGAAAATACGTCTTTGAGTTGGTATTCTCGGCAGCAGACCTTAGTGTTGGTTGCAAAGTTGCTTAAATCTGACAGTATGACCTGTGAGGTTCCTTGAGTGACCAGATCCCTGTCAACAGGAACCTCTTGTCCCAGGATGCTGGTGTCATAGCTCCTGGGTCCTACTTTAGTAAAAGCACAATGCTCACAGTTAGTCTGTACTTCCTTGTCCTGTACAGCCTTGTTTCTTTTACTGGGCTGAGCATCACTCTTTGTGTCCTCATCCCAGACACCAAACTTTCTGGGCTGCAGGGAGCCCACACTGGTATTCCAGGTGCCAGGGAAAGGCTGGGATTGCCACATAACTGCCTCTTCAGAGGCCAGTTTTCCCTGGCTGATGAGAGTCTGGGCTAGCAATGGTGAGGTCTGGGCAGTGCTGTCTTTTGCATGTACACGTACTGGAGGAGCCGCAATGAATTTCCTCAGGTCTGCAAGGACACTGGGTATATTCAGCTGGCCAAGCTGTTCACACAGCTGCTGGAAGTCTTTGTTCTGCTGGGCAACTAAAACTTCAAGGTGCTTCAGGTTAGACTTCATTTCTACAAACTCTGCTTGTCTCTGGGGAGAGGCAGCAAGAAAGAGGAGAATTTCCAATAATGCGTAATTCCCAATAAAACAGAACAAACCAAAGGACATGCCAACAAAACAAATTTGCCCCTTCTGGTTTACCTTTACCACACAGGTAGCACAGTAGCCTACATTTGCCAGAACCTTGGGGAGAAGGCTGACCTCTACCCAGGCCTGGCTGGCTTCTGGTCTCAGGTGAGAATTTGCATCTTTAGAGGTATATCGCAGGGTCTTAATGACAAAACAAAAAACAAGCTTTAAGAGAGGGTTTGGGATCCATACTTACAGCTTCAAATTTGTTTTGCATCTCGAGGATGATCTGTTCCAATCTGCCTTTGTCCTTCAGGGCCTCAAGTACCAGCTCACTCTGGGCTTGCATAGTGTCTTGCACTAAATAAAGAACAATGACAATTCACCTCATGAAGACTGTGTCCCTCCTGCCTATGCCACAGGTGTGGAGTAGGAACAGCTGACCACACCCAGGACAGACAACCTTAAACAGCCCTTCTAGTGCCAGGGCCCTGTCCTCCCAGATCAGCCTTGGCGGAGAGCAGAAGCCAGGGCAAGGTGGTCCTGACACACTTTGTTTTTCCTTCTTTCCATGAGGACCTGCTGGGGACCCTGAGAATCTCTGCCCACATTATGACATTTCTGGCTGTCCTCTAGGTCCTGTCATAAGAGTAATCTTTCTGATTTGTGGTTATGATCACATGCCCTGGAAAACTACTGAAACCTTTAATGACACCCACTGACCAAAGGGTACAGTCCAAATGGCAAGAAGCTGTGCTGCAATCCTGAAGGCACACGGTTTGAGGCCACCAGCTGCTCTGTGGGAGAAAAGATGGATAATCTCCTCCTGTGTAATTAACTGCCTCTGAAAACCCACTAGAGGGTCTGCTATGGGTCAGTTCTGGCCCTGTGGTACACAATAAGCAGCAGCCCAGGATAGGTAGCCTCAACTTCTCTAGACTCAACTTCACCTTATTCTACCCACTTGTTTTTTTTCATCTCTGGATTAAAAAAAGACTTGTTATTTGAGAAATATCTTTCTCAGTTTTGGTCTTTGCACATGTTATAGTCTCAGCCTGGAGTTAAGTACTCTTGCTTCTTTGTTATTACACCATCCCCTTCCCCCCAAACTACCTGTCCAGCTAGTACCTATCTCTTCTTCTGCTGTGAGCTTAGCAGTCACTTCATCATAATTATCATTCCTCATCCAGCCGGAGCACTCCTTCACTGTGCTGGTGGTACCATGTATGCTCTACCTGTCCCTACCATCTTCTGAGTGCCAAGTAACATATCTATTCCAAGAATTAAAGAATTTGGCTGCTAAACAAAAGATTAGCAGTTTAAATCACAAACTGCTATGCAGAAAAAAAGATGAGGCAATCTGCTTTGATCACACATACACACACATTAGACTATAGGTTATGTGAAGACACTCTTATACCACATATTTCATGGCCATCACAATGTATCAGGTACATCTGTAATAGATGAAGTCCTCTTGAAATTACGCATGGGGAGAAGGGGACAAGTAGTTAATAAGTAATCACACAAATAACTGATTGTTACTGTTATGTACCATCACAATGGAACAGACTCAAAGCTGACCCTCCAGTGGAGGAGACTGCCCATCTCTCTCCCACAGAGTACATGGTGGATTCGAACCACATGCCTCTTGGATGGCTAAGATTATACCACCTGTAAAAACCTGCTGGAGGATCAGTTATGAGACGGTTCCAACTCAACAATAACTACTTAGATATGTATACTAAGTGCTCTGATGGTCTCTGAACACTTCATGATAGACTTTTTTTCCTAGCTGCACTTTGAAAACTTCTATTCAGCTCTCAATCCTTTCTTCCTTTCACTTTATCTTCTATATAAGCTTGAACAAGTTTCAGAATCTCTTCTGATATCCATTTTGGTCTTTTCTTTCTTTTTAATAACCTTTTGCTTTTTTCATATATGATGCCCTTGATGCTATCCCACAGTTCATCTTGATTTTGTTCACTAGTGGTCAGTGCTTCAAATCTATTCTCAAGATGGTTTCTATATTCAGGTGGGATATAGTCAAGGTTGTATTTTGGCTCTTGTGGGTTTTTAAAATTTTTCTTCAGCTTCAGTTTCAACTTATATATGAGCAGTTGATGGTCTATTCCAGCAGACCCTGGTCTTGTTCTGGCTGATGATACTAAGCTTCAATTTTTTTCTTCCCACAGATATAGCTGATTTGGTTCCTGTGTATTCTATCAAGTGAGGTCCATGCATATAGCTATATTATGTGTTTTGAAAAAGGTATTTGCAATGATTAAATCACTGGTCTTACACAATTTCGTCATGTGACATCTGGCCTCATTTCTATAACCAAAGTAATATTTTCTAACTATCTTTGTTTCCAATTTTTGCATCCCAATCACCAGTTAATGCATCTTGAGCACATGTTTCATCAATTTCAGACACTAGAAGCTGGAAGAAACCTTCAATTTCTTTGTCTTTATGGTTGGTGTGTAAATTTGAATACTGGTCAGATTAACAAGTCTTCCTTGTAATGAGTAGGGATATTGCCCTATCACTGCTAACACTGTACTTCAGGATAGATCTTGAAATGTTCATTTTGACAAGGTGATGTCACTCTTCTTCAACTTAGCATATCAAGCATAGAACTGGAGATATGATTGACCAATTAAACATAGCCAATACCAGTTCTTTTCCTCTCATTAATGCCTAGGATTATTTATACTTATGCATTCCATTTCATTTTTTATAACTTTGAATTTTCTTAGATTTGTATTTCATACACTGCATATCCAATTATCCCTGGATGCTTGCAGTTTTTCTCCTAATTATGAGTTATGCCAAATCAGTCTTTCATTGGCTGAAATCTTTTCTTCCCCCCACGTTATTAAGGTGAACTCTACTTTGAAGAGGCAGACTTTTCTGAGTCCTGTTTTGAGTGCCTTCCAACCTGACAGCCTCATCTTCCAGCACTAACCAAAAATGTTCAACTGCTATTTAAAGGGTTCACAGGGCCCATTATTTCTGTCTTGCTTCCTCCTTATTCTTAGGTTAGAAGCTCCACTGAAACCTGTCCATCCAGGGGGACCCTGTTGTATTTCAAATACTGGTAGTATATCTTCCGGCCTTCTAGCAACAAGCAAGCCGCCACAGTAAGATAGACAGAGGAGTGGTGGTAATAGTCTTAGGTTTCTGGAACTCATTCCAAACCAGATGCACAGTTGCCCTTGTGTAGGGTGCACATGTGTTGGAAGCTAGCAAACAGCACTGTGCTTCTTTGCAGACAGATGGAGATTAATTTCTGAGCCACACAAAGGCTTTGCTTTTTGTAAATAATGAGCAGTCTATCCCATGGAATTTGAAAAAGTTTATTTCAATTTGCTTAAATAAAAAATAAATACAGAGATGAATTCAAACAAGTGCAAATGCAGTTGGCAGTTTGCTGCTTAGCTGAGCTGTTGGTTCTAGAGAGAGGTCCATATAAGGAAAGCTCTGTAATGATTCTGTTCTGTTTGGTTAGGTTCAGGAAGACAGTAGATCTAAATATAAATCACTAACTGGTGGAGCAAAACAAAAACCCCAAACCCATTGCTACTGAGGCAGTTCCCACTTGTAAGACCCTGTTCATAAGAACAGAGTTTTATTCTGGAAGCTCTGGTGAAACCTGTCCACAATGGGTGACCCTGTAGATATTTTAATACTGGTGGCATAGCTTCCGGTTTCATAGCAACACACAGGTCACCTCAGTACAGCAAACTGACTAGTCTTGTATGCATAAGATAAACTATAGACAATCAGGCATATACATACACAAACTATAAAATAAGCATCAGCATGTAGGTCATTCCTACAGTTTACCTACACAGCAAACTGACAGATACGTGCTATAAATCAAAAGACATATTGTCAAGGACCTCTCCAAAGTTTCAAACAGCAAGGATGTCAGTATAATGACTAAGGTGTGTTTGCTCCAAGTCATGGTCTTTTCAATTACTTCCTAAGCACCTTAAAGTTGGGCAATGAATGAGAATGACAAAAGATGAATGGGTGCCTTTGAATTATGGTGCTGGAGAACCATACTGAATATCACATGGCCTGTCCCAAAACAAACAAGTCTGTGTTGGAAGAAGTACAACCAGAATTCTCCTTAGAATCAAAGGTGAAACTTCTTACATACTTTGCACAGATGGTCAGGGATGTCAATATATGCTAGGGTCTGAGAAACAGATAGATTGACAGACTGTAACAATGGGCTTGGGAATATCAGAGATCTTGAGGTTGGTGCAGGATAAGGCAGGTCTCCAATCATAAGGTCACTACGAGTTGTATGTGACTTGACTGGACCTATCAACAACATGGCAGAGTGGAATTGCCCCACAGAATTTCTGAGGTGTTAGCTTTTTTTTTTCCTTTACCGTTCTTTTTTATTGAAATTCAGAATATGTCACTTTAATTTTCCAGTATTTTTTGTTTTTTAGCTTTTATGAGAAGCAAACTGCCCCATCTTTTCCCAATGGAGCAGCTGGGCTTTGAACCACTGATCTTTTCGTTTACAGCCCAATTCTTTAACCACTCTATCACAGAAACTGCAACCCACAAACTGTAACTGAAATTGAGAAAGATGCTGCAATTTACTATAAAACATTTCTCAGTGAAACCAAGTTAGCAAGAAGAATAGTAGACAGAGTATTTTTAACTTCTAAGAGGCAGTATATCTCTATAGACTGTACAGCTAGCAATTCACCCTAGACTCTGCTGATGCTGATTCACCAGGTAGTGAGATCAGAGAGTTGGCTAGAGACAACAAAATTACTGAGTTGAGAATGAGTGCTCCACAGCTGGAGTCCTGGGACCATTCTCACAGGTAGATGGGTTCAACTCTCTTCAGGGATAATCTTACATACACACTCCCTTCTTATCTGAAACACTGTTTGGGACCTCACCATTAGCAGAAACTGGACTAGGGACAGAAAATTCATGTTCACTGATCACCAGTGCCCTCTGCTGATAACCTCAAGAATAAGACACTCACATGTCTTGGCCACAGTCTCCAAAGAATCCAAAATAGATTGACTTCTGTAACTGAGATATTCCTCAGACTTCTCCACAGATGTCTGTAACTAAGAAACAAAAAGCTAAGAATTAATTTATTGCCTAGTATCATATTAACATGGAAGACTCCATTTAATTTAGTATTTTTTAAAAGAGTAATTTTGCTATGGTACATGAACTAAAGCCAATGCTATATAATTAAAACTTCCTAAAATGCATGATGTTCTAAACATTTGAAACCAAGAGATACTTACTCTATGAATATTTTCTTTGACATGGGAAATAAAGCTCCACAGAGTCTCACTAGAAGAAAAAAAAAGAAAGCAAATCTGTGAAATACTAAAATAAAATATAATGGAATTGGTTCCATGAACATGACATCAAAACAGTGCTTGATCTTAGCTGGAGAGATCCTGAGTGGTTAGCTGGAATAAAAAGAGCAACAAGTTTCCATTATTATTATTTTCAAGGCAAACTTCTTTTAATTCACTCTTTATGCCCCTTGTGGGTACTATCAAGTAGATTTCAACTCCTAGACTCCTTATGACAGAGTAGATAACTGCCCCCTAGTTTTTATTTTGTTTTAATTGGATGATTTTTTTCCCTCTTGTTGTGTGCCATCAAATCAGATCTGACTGGCACAGGAGAATGCCCCTCCTACTCCAGTGGAGCATCTGGTGGATTTGAACCGCTTGCCTTCGGTACTGCAATGCAGCTTCTTGCCATTAAGCCACCAGTGCTCCAAGATATTTAAAAATAATATTCTACTCTGTTTTTGGTAAAAGATTATACATTAATTAGGTTTACATTTCTATTTAAGTTATTCAGTGACATTAGTCGCATTTATCAACAATGTGTCGGCATTCTCTTTGTGCTTTGGTCATTCTGTTTCCAGTACTCTAGTTTCCCTGCCCTCTTCTCATCTTTGCTTTAGAGTAAATGCTGGCATCAGATGTTTCTTCAGTAATGTAGTTAGAGGTACAGCCTTTATTTTATGTGTCACACATTCTATTACTTCATAAAAAGCAATCTGAGAGGTAAGTTTCATATGAAGAGGACCCAATGTTGAAATGTAACCCATCATGAAAGCTGCAGTCTTTGGTTGTCTTCCATATTTTCTTCAAGTCTTCTTCACTTTCTGGAAGCAAGGTTGTGTCATCTGCATAATGCAGGATGTTGATGAGCTTTCTTCTAAATCTGATACCATATTCCTTCTTCATATACTTTTACTTCTTGAATTATTTACTTAACTGCACTAGCTGAGAGCAAAGGACTCATTGAGATTGACACTGTATATTTTAAATTTAACAATCCAAAATCTATAAACCTTTCCTAGTGGAAAAATCAGTTTGAATTATGATGTAAGAACTCAGGTCTATATTCTTTACCCTAAAATGTTGTAATCTAAAATTTCTTAATTCTGATAATCTGAAAGAAAGCAAAGGGCAAAATTTTAGGCAGAATATATATAACATTATTTGAATAATCCATTTCTCTAAGATGTTTTTTCATTCTTTAGAGTGACCAAAACTGTGGGAGATATATTAAAATCTACCAAAAGTTAAATTCACAAGAAAGCAAATCAAGGGTACTTTTCATATAAGTTACAAAGGCAAGAGTGTTATCATGTTGAATTGAATGATATGAGTTATTGGCACTATGTTTTCTGTTTCCCTCAAAAAGGAACAGCTGGAAGGGCTGCATACCTGTCACATTTGTCTTTTGCCCTTTTCTTTTTCTCTTCAAACTGTTCCAATAGGCCCTTTGATTTTCCAACAGATAAAGGAAGAGGAAATAAGCCTCCATCTTTTGTGTCTCCTCCAAATAGCTGAGGTTTTGCCTGGTACTTTGTGAAAATACTAGGTTCATTCTGTTAAATGAGAAAAGAGAAACATGATGACATTTACCACATAAAAATGTAGCACAGGTTATTTTCTCAGTACAGTACAGAGTCATACTTAAATGCAAAGAATACTGCTAAAAACATAATATGTGGTACATATTTACATTTTGTTTTCATATATATACATATATATAAAATATATTTAAAATAAAATCTTTTAATTAATACAGTTTCTGTCTTCCCTATCCAAATATATTTAAATTGTCGACTAAAATATCTTATAATCACCTGCACACAATCAACAGAGGATAAGCTAGGTAACCATGACCTCCTAAAAAAATCTTTATGTAAATAAAAAGTTTTCTCCAAAAAAATAAAAAGAGAACCTAGAGACTGGGAGAAATATTTAGTAATGACACATCTTGCAAGGGAATCATTTCAAATTTATAGAAAACTTCTAAACAAGAAAAAGACTAACATCTCCATTACAAGATGGGCTGAGGTATGACCAGACACCACCAATTCAGATACCCAACACACATGCAGAGAAGTGCTAAAAGTCATTAGCAATTGTTGTTGTTGTTGTTAGGTGCTGTTGAGTGGAGTATGTATGACTCACAGCAACCCCCTGAACAACAGACCTGAGTCCTGTTCTATCCTCTGTAATCCTCATCATCTCTAATACATTTGAGCCCACTGTTACAGTCACTATGTCCATCTGTCTTGAAAGTCTTCCTCTCTTTTGCTTATGCTCCACCTTTCCAAGCATGATGTCCTCTTCCAAGGAATAGCTTCTCCTAGCAATATACCAAAGTATGAGAGATGAAACTTTGTCATCTTTGCTTCCAGGGAGCATTCTGGCTGCACTTTTTCTAAAAATGGTCATTAGCTAGTAGAGAGATGCTAATCAAAACAACAATAAAATATCATCTTAACCCTGCAACAATAGCAATGCAATGTTCAGCAGTACACAAACAACAAATGCTAGATAGGATGTGGAGGGATTTGGAACTCTAACACTCTGCTGGTGGGAATGTAAAACGGTACAACCAATATGGAGAGAAGTTTGATGCTTCCATAGAACATTGCTAAGTGCCATTGAGTCAGAACCGACTCACAGCTGACCCTCTAGTAAGTTTCCAGAGGCTGTAAGTTGCATAGGAGACTCTCTTTCTCTCACAGAGTAGCTAGTGGATTCAAAATGTGTGCCTTCATGTTGATAATATAACTCCTTAGCACTCATCTCTCAAAGCTATCTAGAACCCTGGGAAAAGAAATACCATTTGATCCAGTAATTCCACCAGTAGAAATGTATTCCAAACAAATGAGAGCTGCAACCTAAACTGACAGACATATACACTCATGTTTATTGCAGCATTATTTATAATTGCAAAGTTGGAAACAATCCAAGTGTCCATCAACAAATGAAGGGCTAAAAACAACTACAATATGTTCATACAATGAACATCAATAAAAAACAATCAAGAATATGTGACATAGTGTACAATATGAATTCAACAAATCTAGAATGTTGTTGTTATGTGCCATCGAGTCACCTGCAACTCATAGCAACCCTATATACAACAGACCTAAACTCTGCTCTGTATCGTGCCAATTGCACTGTCTCCGACACGCCCATCCTGATTACCCCAGTCACTGAATCAATTCACCTCATAGAGGGCTTTCCCCTCCTGCACCATCCCTCCACCCTCCCAAGCATGATTTCCCTCTCCAAGGACTGGTCCTCCCTCCTTGCAACATGTCCAAAGTATGTCAGATGAAGCCTCAGGATCCTTGCCTCCCAAGAGCAGCCCGATTTAACCCTCTTCAAGATGAATCTGTTTGTTTTCTTAGCAGTCCATAGTACCCTCAATACTCTTCTCCAGCACCACAGCTCAAAAGCATCAATTCTCCTTCTATCCTCCCTAGTCCTTGGTCCAACTCTCTGATGCATAACAAGTGATTGCAAAGACCATGACCTGTATCAGACACACCTTAGTCTCCAGAGAGACACCAATGCTCTTCAGTA